TGTCCCCGTGTCCGTGTCCGTGTCCCCGTGTCCCGGTGTCCCCCTGTCCCCGTGTCCGTGTCCCCGTGTCCCCGTGCGGCCGCAGGCTCCGGGAAGATCTGGATGGATGACGTGTCGTGCACGGGCAGCGAGGATTCCCTGGAGCTCTGCAGCTTCTCGGGATGGGGCCGCACCAACTGCGGCCACGCCGAGGACGCCGGAGTGCGCTGCCAGACAGACTGACCCCAAACTCACCCCAAAGGGAACCCCAAACCCCAAAGGACTGACCCCAAACTCACCCCAAAGGGAACCCCAAACCCCAAAGGACTGACCCCAAACTCACCCCAAAGGGAACCTCAAACCCCAAAGGGAGCCCCAAATCCCAAAGGGAACCCCAAACCCCAAGGGGAACCCCAAACCCCAAAGGTCTGACCCCAAACACATCCCAACGGGAACCCCAAACACACCCCAAAGGGAAACCCTAAATCCCAAAGGACTGACCTCAAACACATCCCAAAGGCAATCCCAAATCCATCCCAAAGGTCTGACCCCAAATACACCCCAAAGGGGAACCCCAAACCCATCCCAAATGGGAAAACACCAGATCCATCCCAAAGGGGCCAAGGAATGACCCCAAAGTCACCCCAAAGGGGAAATCTCAAATCCACCCCAAAGGGAAAATCCCAAACTCATCCCAAAGGGGAAAACTTCAGTTCCAACCCAAAGGGGCCAGGGATGATCCTAAAAGGGGTGGAGGACAATCCCAAATTAATCCCAAAGGACTGATCCCAAATCCATCCCAAAGGGGCAAATCCCAAAGTCATCCCAAAGAGGAAAATCCCAAATCCATCCCATCCCAAATCCCCGGCGGGCACAGGGAATGGGATCATTCCCAGAGAAATAAAGGATTTTGTTCTTCTCGGGGTGGGGCAGAGAGCAATGGGATTTGTGGGGTTTTATGGGGTTTGGGGGGGTTTGGGGGGTTTATGGGGGTTTGTGGGAATTGTGAGGGTTTATGGGGTTTATGGGGCTTATTAGGGTTTATGGGGTTTGTGGGGGTTGTTATTTATGGGGTTTTTGTGGGGTTTGTGGGGTTTATGGAGTTTATGGGGTTTTATGGGGTTTATGAGATTTGTGGGTGTTATGGGGTTTGTCGGGGTTATGGGGGTTTATGGGTTTTGGAGGGTCAAAGAGGGATGGGGATTTGTGGAGATTTTTGGGGATTTTTGGGGATTTATGGGGGTTCAGGGGTCTCAAAGGGAGATGGGATGTATGGGGTCTGAGTTGGGGTTTATGGGGTCGGGGATGTCACGGAACACTCGGGGTTTATGGGATTTGTGGGGTGTGTGGGGGTTTATGGGGTTTATGGGATCAAAGAGAGATGGGGATTTATGGGGATTTTTGGGGGTCCAGAGGTCTCAAAGGGAGATGGGGTTAATGGGGTCTGAGTGGGGATTTATGGGGTCTGAGCTGGGGTTTATGGGGTCGGGGATGTCACGGAACACTCGGGGTTTGTGGGTTTTGTGGGTGCTCAGGGGGATTTATGGGGCTCCAGGGACCCCACAGCTCCTCCCCAAATTCTTGGGGACCCTCCCGTCCTCCTGAGGCCCCTCGGGCCCCACAGAGCCCCCAGAGCGCCCCGGATCCCCCCCCATTGATTTTGGGGCCGCCCCAAAACCCCTCGGGCTCCCCGGGACCGCCCCAAGCCACGCCCACTCCGCGCTGGCCACGCCCCCACAGCGCGCACGCCAATTACGTCACCGCGCCGCTGCGCGGCCACGCCCCCTGCGCCCTCCCACGGCCATATGTGGTGTTCGGCCACACCCCCAGAAGGGGCGGGGCCTGGGCGCGGGCGCGCGCGCGGGATTCGAACGGCGCGCCCGGTAACGGCCGGAAAAGGCGGGAAAAGGAGCCCGGGATCCACCGGGAGCGGCACCGGGAGCGGGA